TAGAATATATATAGTTAATAATGTATAATAGGATAATATAGGTCCATAAAGAAAATTCCCTTATTATAAAAAAGGAAACGGGTTCGATTCCCTGTAAGGTTAAAAAATAAATAAATGAATAATAATGTTAAATTTTGAATATTTATCCAACTATGAAAAGATGGTATAAAGACTTATCATAAACTTAATGTTTTCATGAATATTAACTTACCCGACTGAAGAAAAATGGTGTAAAGAATTTTACTAATATTTTCTTGATTGTTTTATGTACTACCACATGATGCGGACTTCCCGAGAGAGAGCAGGCTGGCGCTCATGCAGACGTCAGCGATACTGACGATGATCCACCCTGAAGATGATGGAGACACCCTCTACGAATTCGCGTCGTTTTCGTTTCAATTTGGTCGCGTCGCGTTCGTCAAAATCGTCACTTGTAGTAGTTTGACTTGGGGGTAGGGAACCCTTAGTATTCCATGGGAATTGGGTTTAATCTTGTTTGATGCTAGATGTCCTTACCCAAAATTTCTATTACGTTTGCGCATCATGGGTGTCTAATAAAGTACAAGACAATAAAGTGGTGGACCACGTCTGTATCTTTATTAAAGATGTACGAAAGTAAACATTAATTATAAATTCTTTTAGGTTTTGCTCAAATCCACTTAATGTTTACGAATCTTAGGAAATAGTTTGAATTTCGTTTCGTACATCTACTTAGTATGGGAAGTAATGAAGTTTCAAAATATATTTTTTTTTGATATTTAATGGTTTAATAAATGGGATAGGGTAAAGTTTTGCTGATAGATGAGATAAAATAAAAATTGCTTGGGTAATTTAAGTTATAGCTAGGGTTAGCTTTGTTTTTTTGTTTTTGCCGACTGATGTCGATGTAAAGTAAAGTAAAGTTAAGGTTAGGAGGGAGATGTACGAGGGATTTTGTTAAGGTTTTGCTCCCGTAAAGTCTTTGCAATAAAAACTTTGCAAACAGTTAGGGTTCTTTTCCCGTGAAGTTTTTTTTTTGCAAGTTTTGCAAACTTATTGTGAGGGCTAGTCTGTAGTAAAGGCCACCTCCCAGTTGTATTAATGTCCTTAAGCAGGTAGGGATTTTAGATAGGACCGTCGAACCCTCTCGATGTAGTAGGTAGGAAAAAAAAATTTTGTTCGGTCATCTGGTATGACAAAACATTTTTTTTTTTTTAGAGGTGCCGGAGGGATGTAACGTCCTTGACGTTGCAGCCTCCTTGTTTAGGTAAACTCTTTGCTTTTGCAATGCCTACGGTTGGCAGTTATATTAAAAAGTTAATGTCATGATTTTAAGATTTGAAATAAGGAATCGTCTGTCTTTTGATAGAAGGTTCCATTGATTATTAGATCTTCAGGCACCAAGAAATCCTCTCGTATTTAGATAAAATACTTTATATTAGCCTGAATGATAATACAAAATAAATAACTTATCTCTACCAGTATCTTTCAATTAATATCTACGTCCCTAGGTTCTATCCCTTCTGGGTAGAACTCTATAGTACTGAGAGATTAAGGGATGTCTGTGTTTGGAGAATAGTTATAAGGCAAATACATGGCAACCCTGGCAAACAATAAATCTCGTTTTAAATTTCTCTGATACATTGGTGTCGATTCTGGCACGATTCTCTAAAACTAAACTTAAATTTGACAAAAGTGTATCCTTGTCATTCTCTATACAGAATGAAAAGGAGAGACTGATGTTAATTTTAGTTTTAACTTTAGAGAATCACGCCAGAATGGACACCACTATTAAAGTACATATAAGTTATTGAAATATCAATTTATGGGTTTAAAATCCTTACTTTTTTATATTTGTTTTAATGCGGCTGCAAAATCATTAATAAATTTAAATTAATATAATCACATTCATCGACTATTGGGCGGTACAAAGTTCGCCGGGTCAGTTAGTTAGATTTAAAGAAAAGATAGAGAGCGATATTATAATTAAATGATTTAAACGTGAATTTTTCACCGGAAGCTGTAAATATAATTATGGATAATATCTCTTATCTATTAGACAAGTCCGTCCGTCTGTTGTGCTGTTTCAGCGGTCAAACCTTAAGAGATAGATAAAGAGAATATTAAGAATAGTCTGATAAGACTACAAACCGGATTTGAGTAACGTAGCACTTCCGGTTTTCGAGAAATCACGAATTTCAACGAAACCACACAAAATCTCCGAAGTTCTCAATTAATTAAATACATTTTTTTTTTAAATCAGGTTTTGGTGAACATTTGATTCACTGGTTTGCTAGTATTATGCAAGGGCGGATCCAGGGGGGGGTCATGACCCCCCCCTGGGCTGGGTACAGATGGACCAAACCCAGGGGGATTTTATTTAAGTACTTTCAATATTTAATATTCCACGACTATATGACCCCCCCCTGGCGCCAAAGCTGGATCCGCCCTTGGTATTATGTTAACTAAATATTATGATACATAATATATTATAGTTTTGTAAAGTTTTGATGCTATGCCCTAAGATTACCAATTCGATAAATTTTAGGACTAAGTACTCGTCACTAAAAGAAGAATGCAGGACAGTAATTAGTTCTTTCGAATTTAGAACAATTTTTATGAAACTTCATGGGCGGACAAACGGACTAAACGCACAGCGCGGTACCGAGAATAGTGTTGCCTCTTTTTGTCTTGCAATATTTTCCAACACTACTTTCTCTGTCATGCGCTGTCCGATCAGATTTCAATATTTATGACAAAGAAAGAAAATAAATTAAATAACAATGAAATCTAAAAACTTACGAGTAAAATATAACACCATTTGCTTTATTTGTATTTCTCGAATTGTTGGTGCACTTTCGGAAGGCACACGATGCCGTCGCGTCGTTATAATACACTTTTTTTGCAAAAATGCCTGCGGTATTTTATTCACCAACGTCAAACTGCCACTATATTCAGATGAACACTGATTAGACAAGACATGATGATACGCTACTTAGCCTATTCGAGTGCTGTCAGCTTTCAGAGCGGTCAAACTATGGTAAGGGCATATCTAACGATTAAATCTTCGTTCTGAACTACATGTCAAATGTTACGTTTTGGTGTGGACCTGCACATAGGGTATTCTGTTTTTAAAAAATATTCATTTGTATAATGGTTAGCGTTCTGTTTCCAGCGCATTCTTACGTTTTTCGTCATCATGAATACACGAGTATGAGTACAGTCAAGGCAGCAAAACGGCAGAAGAAGTATACGGAGCGAACACTAACGATCGTTCCACCCGTTATTGGTTTGCCAGCTTCCGTTCTGGAAATTTCGACCTAATGCCCGGCTTACACGAGGCTTGTTTATTAAGCTAGGATAGCAAGCTAGTGTCAGTAAGCTAGCAAGCTAGTACTTGCTTTGTGTAAACAAAATTAGTTTCATTTCTAAGCTAGATTACATAACAGGACAGTGTTTAATAGGATGGAGTTCTATTTTTTAGGCTAGTAGCGCCCACCACCACCTATTTTACTATCTTGGTTTGTGAACTAGCTTCATGTGGACGGCAAAGCTTGATTTTTATTGGCCGAATTTAAGTATCCATCACGTCATTTCAGCGAAAATCTATTCTCTATCAGGATTGACCGGATCTAGATGACATTAGCAGACAAGGCCTGCGTTCCAAACCTACGCTCCAGGTGCAACCAATTACCAATGTCAAATTGGAATTTGGATAGAAGTTTCATACATTTATGTCAAAATTAAAACGTCAGAATGAAAAGTTGCACTTAGTGTTGGGTAGGACACGACTTGAAAAAGAGTTTGTAAGAGTAGCCTCTTTTTTGTACTGAACCAGTACAATGTCCCACTTCAAATGAGGCGAGGCGTACTGAAGCTCGGCAATACATTTGAAGTGACGAGTACAAATATGACATTGAGGCGTACAGAAGCTCGACATTACGTTTGTGTGCACGAGTAGCACCTCCTCTACGCACTATCAATCTTGCTGGATCCAGCATGCACGACAGCGCTATACACGTAAAACAGATAGAGATACAGATGGATAGTGCGTAAAGGACGTAAATGAAATGTCACGCCTCGCTCTCTCTCTCAGACTTACGAAGAGTGAGTGAGTAATGAGACGCGACTATCGCGACATTTAATGTGAAGTAGTACATTTTAAAATTTTGAGCCGCTCTTACAATTTGGCGTCATGTCCGGGACAAATGTACCGCCTCTTGTAAGTCCTACTCAACACTAGTTGCACTTGAAGCTTAAGTTTGGAACGCACCCAACCTGACGAAAGAACTGTTTTATATTAAAAGAATCATATTTAAAGAAGGCATATTCAAAGAATAGATGTTTATTTTCCATTTTATTTATTTGTGAAACAGAAAATGTATCTATCCAGATTCTAGACATCGTATTTGTAATATAATGACTTTGAATATTATAGATCGTTGCGAAAATGACTTCTTTGAGCGTAAATATAGCTTAAATGACGACCTCCGGGGCCGAGTGGAGTGTACGCCGGATTTCAAGGTGTCGCCTACTCGAGAGGTCCTGGGTTCAAATCCCGGTGATTGCAGATGTTTGTGTGATGAATACGAGCAATTATACTCCAGTCATGGATGTTTAATATGTATTTCTACATAAATATACTTATATAAGTACTAATTGGTGTGTGTTGGAAAAATATTTATATTTATTTATTTATTATATTACCTTTTTTCATCACGGAGCTAAAAATTGTTTTAAAGGATACAAAATTATAATGATTCAAAGGTTCTGGGTAGTTTAAGCATCTCGTATTGTTTAGATTTACTTGTTAAAATGTCTGTTAAGCCAAATTCCCATACAAAGTGGGCATTGCCTTTTGTCAAACAAATTTATTGTAGAAGAGACCACTTTCCCAGGTAATCTGTTCCAATTGTAAACAACTCTGTTGCCAAGAATGTGGTGTGCAGTGTTTGTAATAATGTAAATTGTGTGCCCAATAATGTAAATTTATAAATCAAAATGTATTTTATATTACTTACTGTCAATGTAGGGCTTGCTGTAAAACTGTAATCAAGTATAACAACTGCTATTCCAGTTATTAAACCTAGGCATGTGCATACCCATATAATATTCTGGTTACCTGTAAGAGCAACATAAATGGATAATAAATTTAGTATTTTATTTATACAAGTAACAACTTGTAAAATTTTATCTAAATAAAGATAGAATCAAGACAGAAAAAGTTTTTAGTACCTAACAACAAAGGTGGAATATGATCAGGGGTTTAGTCTAGGAATGACTGATTCGGGAAATGCTTACATGGTCTATAATTGACCAATTCTTATAATGTATAAATGACTGATTCTATAATTGACTTTCTACAGTACTTTGAATAGGCATATGGTAAGTAAAATGCAATGTAAAGATTGGCAAATCTTTTATTTCAACTTGCTTTAGTTTTTTTATTGACGACATATACAGACAACTAAGCTAAGCAACTATGTAAAGATTGGCAATAAAGAATAACATAAACAATTGGGTACATAAAACAGTTTCTGGTCAAAAAATGTAAAATAAAAAAAACATACAAAAAATTATGACTGATATTATGTTCTCATTTTAAAATATCTCTTACTTCATTTTGTAGCAAAAACATAAAAAAATGTGCAGGTTCTAATCAAAACGTCAATTAAAAAACAAACAATAATCACCTAGGAATTTGTAGTTGTATAAATAAATTAAAAAAATATATCACTGATATTTCAGCGTTTTGAAGTTTTTTTAAACCTTTTTTGTATTTTTGTCAAACAAAATATCATATCACAATTTCGGTGATATTTCTGTGACACCAATAGTTTCGTGGCTTGGTTGTGTGTAATCAATAAAAAAATAAAGCAGTTTGAAATAAATTATAAAATAAATTTGCCAATCCATATTTGCCAATTCAAAGCACTTACTGTACATAAAATAAAATAAACTGTAATTTGTTAAATCAGTCTATTGTAGAATCAGTCATTTATAGAATTGTACATTTCAAGAATTGGTCAATTATAGACCATGTAGTAATTTCGCAAATCCATCATTACAAGACTAAAGGATGATAAAGGGCATTATTAACACTAGGGCCAAGAGGGCCATGGCCCTGGGCTGCAAGCTGCAAGGGGCAGCAAAAGCTATATAATGATCATTTGTTATACCTATATTTTTATGATATTTACTAACTCTAGGGGGGTGGTGCAAATCATAAATGTTCTGTAGCTCCAGATTACGAAATAGACCCCTGCATATGATGCGGCACATCAAAATGTTTCAAGGTAAATAAGCAATAATAAGCAATAATAATATAAAAGAAAGAAAAATAGAAGCAAAACTAACTGCAATTATTTAGTCCCAACCCAAAAACAGGAATACAGCAGAAAGTTAATAAAATTAATGTGTCAAATGCTGAATAAATTATTTATAAGATTTAAAAAAAGATATATAAAATCAAATAATTCAATTCTTTACATTTTTTTATAACAGATTGTGAATTACCTAACAATGGACTGTATTTAGATTTAAAATGCTTTATTATTGGGATTGTGATACAAAATATGTGAATACAAAGAAAGGGGTTAATTCAAATTTGAAGATATATTTTCTTGCAAGTGTTGATTTATACTTACTTTTTAGTTTCTTTTTCTGCATATCAGTTATACTCTTTATAGACTCAATTAATTTGGAATTGTGAGGGTCCAGTTGAAGTGCTCTTGAGTATGATATTATTGCTTCATCATATAAGCCACTTGCAGCTTCTACTTCAGCCCTCCGAAAGTATCCCTAAACAAAAAATCGCAAGCTTAAGAATAAACAAACAAAATTTATTTATGTTGGCATACTAAAGAAAACTTATAGCATGCTTTTGTAGTACGAGATCTGCTCCAAGTTGTCAACTGAGCTGAATATCATCATACAAGCCTTGAAGTTGGTTTTCACCAACTTTTATTAGTTTTCACTAATATCAGAACTCAACATCAACCTAATTGTGTCCCCAATGCTGGGCCAAAGGCCTTCCCGATAGGAGACAGACTGGGCCAAGACTCACCATGTGGTGCAAATTTGTGGGTGTTAACAACTGCAGATGCAGCCGGGACCAACAGCTTAAAAGTGCCTTTCGATTTTTGGTCACCTATTCAAATACCGACCACTGCAAAAGTTGCTTAACTTCAACTTTAATAAAAGAACTCACCTTGGCCCAATGTGGCTGCAATCTAACAGTTTCATTAGCATCTTGAAGAGATAAATAATGCTGATCCATCTTTAAAAATGCAAAAGATCTATTGCTGTACAATAAGTAATTAGTCGGATCCATTTTTATGGCCTGTGTATAATGTAAAACAGCTTCAATGAATTTACCATTCTTAACACAATCATTTCCTTTATTTTTTAATTCTTCAATATTCAAATCCGATTTACTTTTTTTAGGTTCGTCCATCGCTTCTATCGTTGTTTAGTTTCGTACTTAATACTTTATATTCAAAAAATAGATTACTGTTCAGAAATATGAAGAACAACAAAGTGGGCCCAATGGCGTGATTCTATAACTTAAAAACACATTTGACAACAGTCTTTCCTTCTCGTTTTGTATAGAACAAGACAAGGATACGATGTTGTCAAATTTTAAGACATAAGAATAGGGCCCAATAGGTATGTACAGACAGCCACATGTCAATTTTACAAGAAACTGTTAAAATGTTATCAATAGATTTTGAATCGTATAACCATGGTAATTAAGTTTAAAATGACCTGCTAATTTTAGTTGTGGTAACTTGACCTGTGGCTACCGTATCACATTCTTTTAAATTTTTTAAACGTTCTTCTAAAAAGTTGGGGAAAGCAAAGGGAACAATGCCCATATAGAGTAACCTTAATTTTTCTTTGTTCTTTTTTTTTTTACATTAGAATGTGGGTGTGTCGCATTCTAATGTTTCTTGGAGTGTTTGGCACGAAATGAATCGAGTCAACTTTCTCCATAAGCTTTTTTGAGGTAGTCAACACTCCAATAAAATTCTCACGTCCACTTGACCTGTAGCGTATATTTAAAGATTTCACTAATTGATCAGTTGTGCAGACGGTTGTAACACAAAATCACACCAATTTTATTTCACAATCCACTATGAACGAATTTAAGAATAATTAAAATAAGACGCCAACCGCACTCGATGTAATCCCGCCAAAAAACCCTAACTAACTACCGTAAACTACCACCAGTTCCAAATTGGGAGACCATTGACGACCTCCGTGGTCGAGTGGTTGGTTTGTACGCTGGGTTTTATGGTGTCGCCGACTCGCGAGGTCCCGGGTTCGAATCCCGGTGGGGGCAGATGTTTGTGTGATGAATACGAGCATTTGTACACCAGTCATGGATGTTTAATATGTATTTCTATATAAATATACTTATATATGTATATGTATTCTATCCGTTACCCTAGTATCCCATAACACAAGCCTTACAGTGCTTACTTTGGGGTTAGGATAATTGGTGTGAGTGTTGGAAATATTTATTTATTTATCTTTGAGAAGAATTGGCGAAACAAACTCAGAGAGGCTTTCTATCTCCTTCTTATGTTAAATCATGCAAACAGTGTTGCTGTTTTAGCTACTTTGTGGCTAGATCTAGCCGATTTTTAAAGTTTTTAGCCAAAAAATAATCTAGTTTAGCCACCAAAACGAATCTAGCTACTTTTAGCTACTTCTGGTTCTGTCAGCTAAGAAATTTTTCATCATATCTATTCGAAAAGAGCTAATTCTTTCTACGTTTACATGGACTAAATATTTATTAAAACCCCTAGTTACTAAGAGTGATTGAATTAAAAATGTGGATATTGTTAGTAAAAATAAAAATTCCAATAGCCAAAGATCAATCACGAACATTTTATTAACAAGTCACAGACTGTATAATATACTAACTCAATTCAAAACAATGTATAAAATTAATTCTGCATTCGTGCTTAACTGTTAAATCAAACCAAATAAAAAACAATTTTATTTGGTTTTATAGACAATGAGTGTGTCTTCCTCAAGTAGTGAGAATGAAAGTACCTATTGTATTAACTCCCGAGAATTATTTATTGGACGCTAAAAATTTGAACAAATTTACCTAAATAATTCCGTTCTGTTTTAATTAAACCCACCTCTTATAACAATGTATAATAATAATATTATATTTACCAATAGTAATGGAATATTAAAGAAGGCAAAGAATACTATGACATTTAGCCACTTCTGGCAACATTTCGAACGGGAAACTGGCCACTTTTTTAATAAATGTAGCCACAAACCAGATTGTCCTCACGGCAACACTGCATGCAAACAAAAAAAACTAATAGTATCTGTTGGTCTTGCAGTGTGTGTTCGGGTTGGGATTTTATTTGTTTTATAATGGGTTCCCAAGCTGGTGGTATATACCAACCATCTTCCCTATTGAAATTTGGATATTTCTTAATAGCAATAGCTTCGTGTATCATCCTAGGAATTAATCGTTGTTCAGTTGCAAGGATATGTGGTTTATCACATCTAATGTAATGGTTTGATCCCCTTAATGCATGTTCACACACTGATGTCGATTCTGGCATGATTCTCTAAAGCTAAACTTAAATTTGACAACAGTGCATCCTTGTCATTCTCTATACAGAATGAAAAGGAGAGACTGATGTTAAATTTAGTTATAAGTTTAGAGAATCACGCTAGAATCGGCACCACTGCCGACTTATTTTCGCGCCTATGTTTCATATCTGCATTATGTTCTTATACCCGAGTCCCTATACTCCTCTTTGTTTGCCCGATGTAGGAGAGCCCACAGTCACATTCAAGTTTGTAGACACCAGCCACTTGAAAGGGTATATTGCACTAGACAGGTCGTAGAAACTGGTTTTATCTTCTTTGGCGGCTTGAAGTAAGTATTTATCGAAGCACGCTCGAGATCCTTCCACGCTCCTGCCCATCTTGTCAGTGACTCCTTTCATTTGAGGTAGTACAGCAGGTTGTCGGTCGACTGCGCTAGGTTTGGAGCGATTGTGACGTCGACGTGGTACATTCAGATAATTATCCTTCAGTACTCGCTCGACATGCAGAAGCTCAGCTGCCAGGTGTTGTTTGTCTTGAACAGACGCCCCGTGCTCCCTAAAACAAAGACACATGGCACTCCTAACTCCTCCACAAAAGTACCTAGTGGCAAAGGCGAACTTTTAATTATTTATCATGCGGGTTCCATGAAGGGATTTGTTCCGAACTGTCTCTTGGCGTTTAAATCTAAGAAAACTGTGGAATACCACGAAGAGATGAATTTAGTTAAAAAGGAATTGTTTTGTACCTTACCCAAACAACTTGAATGAGCCATCGACGATCATTATGGATAATGCACCGTATCATTCAGTACAAATAAGTAATCCTCCAACTTCTAGCAGGAAAAAAGTCGATATTGTGAAATGGCTGAATGGCAATAATATTATTGCTGACATGTCCCAACGATATTAAATACCCTAGATACACCAACACGAACAAAATCGTGCCAGAAACTTGTACAAAAGGTACATTGGACGATCCACGGAGCTCCATATGATGATCGCGTAGTCAAAAACAATATAAGGCATCATTAAAACATTGAAAGTCACCTTTAATGCAACATTTTAATTTTGACCTGTTAATTGTGATTCCACTTATGACTATTTCTATATAATATTTTTTTTGTATTGCATTGCATTGACTTGTTGGTGTGTTGGACTAGCTCTGTAAACCAGCATGTGAAACTGAATATATAAATAAATAAATGATTCTCTAAATCTAAACTTAAATCCCACCAAAAACATTCTGTAAAAAACTAGCCAAGTCTCGATGGAGCTGCTTGTTTATCTCTAAAAGTAATGAAATCTAGACAAAATCGTGCCAAGTCTAAGGTTCCTTACTGCGATTTCTTTATTATTATAGTAAATGTTGTGTGACTTGGCCGTTGAAGGGTACACCAGGCAATTGTAGGCTTGATAAAGCTGCGTATTTCATTAATACTTTTGTATAGGCGAGCCTGAAACAAACAGCATAACAAAATAATTTCCAGTACAGGCGGACTTCTAATCATTGATAGAAGTCCGTCTGTACGTCTATTTTATGTTAGATCAGTAGTCGATTTGAAGCTCCAAAAAGAAGTGAGCAGAAGTCAGCATTAGTATCGATTCTGTCGTGATTCTCTAAACTTAAAACTAAATTTAACATCAGTCTCTCCTTTTCATTTTGTATAGAGAATGACAAGGATATACTGCTGTCAAATTTAAGTTTAGGTTTAGAGAATCATGCTAGAATCGACACCATTGTCAATGCTGATAAATGTGTTGCACAATCAACAACCGCCTAAAATAACGGGAAACCGATGAATTTATGACATACACTTCCGGAACACTTTTTAAATTCCTCAGAAATACCTTTATAATGAGCACTGTAAAAAGTTAATAGAATTTCCATGAAAATCGATATAGGTTCATCGAAATCGGAGGTTATAGTTGATTTTTGCCTTCATTGACTGTACTATTATGAAAACAAAGATTGAACTATATTTCCTTGATAGTGAGCGTTTTCCATTTAGAAAAAAAAGTCGACACTGTGTTGCACTGTGTCGACGATACTATAGCAAAAACCTAATGCCAACTAAAGCTTGGTAACAATGTTACCAATGAAAAGTATTGAAGTTACCAAGCTTTAGTTGGCATTAGGTTTTTGCTATAGATTCAGATTATTTGCTTCAGATTCAGATTCAGACTCAGAAAACAAAGCGCGAGAAAAAGCAGGCAACCTGCTTAGACTACACTGGTGTCGATTCTGGCAGGATTCTCTAAACTTAAAACTAAATTTGACATCAGTCTGTCCTTTTCAGTCTGTATAGAGAATGACAGAGATACACTGTTGCCAAATTTAAGTCGCACCCTACGGCCAGAGTGCACTCAGATTCAGATTCAGACTCAGAAAACAAGCGCGAGAAATATACAGTGTAGCTTAAGCAGGTGTGTGTACTAACTCATTTAGATGTGATTTTATGGTAATTTAATATCTGACTGACATGGAACCTACTCTTAAAGTGCCAATTAGGGAGTTTACCCTATAGTGTAATGTTTTCTTGTCTTATAACTATTAATTTTATTCAAAATGATTAAATGAAATTGGAACGATATAGCCCACGGTTGTACTGATACAATCGTCATTGTTTAAAATTATTGTTGATTTATTTATTGACTGTAGTACGATTTGATTTGGCGGGCTATCTGGAAAACGGGTTTTTTGTCTGACAGCTTCAAATTTGAGTTTTTTCAAATAATACTTTGGAACAATGTTAGGAACAACTAGAACAATTTGGAACAACTAAAAAAGTATTGAATTTCAAAAATTGGGGGGCAACCATAAAAAGTTTTTTTTGTCTGGCAGCTTCAAATTTGAATATTTTCAAGTCGA